GTTCGGACTACTTACTCTGTGCTAAGAACTTGACCCTTAAGGGTCAAAGGGAATTACGAAAGTCAGAACGCCAGCTTATGGACGCTTCATCGGTTTCATCTCATTGTCGGGTGAAAAGGTGATGTATCCCTTTAGAGTTGATATAATGGTAACTGATGGTATTGGATTGTTTATCTTGAAAATATAATATTTAAGAGAGAAGTTCGCTTTTTGATCGGATTTTATTTATTGTTTACATTTACCATCTCATACGGAGCGAGGCGGTCCCGGGCCGTCTAAAGATTTCCTCTTAAGAGCGACGAGGGCCGGTCTGAGGCGGTTGGTTTCTTTTGAGGGGAGGTGAGGTTCTGAGATCGCTTAAGATTTAAGCGCGATAGGGGTCCAATTATCCTTGCCAACTACAGCCTATTTCTGTACGCTTTAAGGGAATGTTACAGCAGGGGATGGGGGAGGAGAAAATGGCCTCCCCAGGTTGGGAGAGTCCAATTCATGTCGCTTCCTCCCAAAAAGCCCCGGTTTTAAAGGAGCTAGAATATAAAAAGTCCCCTAAGGATTAAAGAGTTTAAGACTTACTTCACATTATATTCTTAAAAAGTGTCCTCAAATACCCTCGTATTTATGAATCAACAAATTCAAATAGACGATATTTGATTACCATCCAATATGAATCAGCCTGAGGGTTATTAGAAATAGACATCGCAATCTGAACCATAGCTGGATGATGAAGGATTTACCTGGATGATAAAAACACTGAAAGTCTTCCACAAAAAAGACAAAAGAAACTTTTGGATGTTTGGCTCACTACGGTTGACTTAAAGTACCTCAAGTACACATATTATGCTTCGAAGTTTTGTTAAAAGCATTTCAAAGTATTATTATTCTGACTTTTGAAACCTAGACTCTGATAGTAAGTCATTGTGGCTTATTTCGACTTGGACCACGTTTAATCTGAGAGCTAGTAAAAAATCTGCCATCGGTGTGGAAATGGGTTTGTGTAGCGACGATTAGTGTTTAACCACGATTTAACGTTAGGCTCCTTTTAAAAGTTTGCGTAATTTCAATGGTCTGTGAGTCTACCAAACGAAATACTATCGTTTAGATAACCATTGGGAGTGTATACCCTTTAACTTTTTTGTATACGTTCACAATGTAGGACGTTTTGTTGCAGTACAGTAAAGAGAATCGAGAAGGAGCTTCGGACTTTTCCATTTTGTTCATTGGGGCCAAAATTTGATACCAATCTACAATTTATTTGCTATATATCTAGTTTGGTGCCTTTTCGAGAAATAACGTTCACACACCCACGAACAGAACCCCCGATGGGGAATCAGTACTTCGAAGTACAGGACGGTCATATTTTATTGAATCCATTTCAAAAATCAATTAAAAAATATGAATAATGTTAAAACTGCGTTTTTTAAATGAGAGAGAAAAATAAAAAAGTTTTTTTCAGATAGGTGGCGTAATATTACGGCCTTCTTAATTTGCTGCAGCGAGAGATTTCGATACGGAATGGCCACCGATCAGCAGCAGCCGATGAGCGTTTTCAGGTTTCCTTTTTTAGTTTTTTTTAATATCTCTAAAACTATTCAGTTTTCGAATTATAATTAATTTAACAAATTAAAGAGCGTAAAATTCCCTACGAATATATACTTTTATTTTTCATCTAGCTTAACAGTTTCGCAAGTATATGGCTCTTGAATGTGGAAGATGTCCAATCATTTACGGCCACCTACCGTAACGGCGCGTTAAATATTTGAAAAAAAAAGACCTTTCAAAAAGCGCTCTCATTAAAAAAACTGTAGTTGCAACATTATAAGTTTTTTCATTAATTTTGAAAAGGGTCCAATAATTTATGACTACCCTGTATTATATCCTAAATTCGATACGCATCGACAAATTTGGTGAAAGATTTACGTGTCAAATTTCATTTATCTTACTCGTTGCGTTTTTTTCAGTTACCATGTTCATATTGTTACAAACACGGAAAGTCGCTTCCCAGCAATGTTTGTCTTATGGTTGGAAAGAGAGTTTTACAGGGTTAGGTATGGGGTGACTGGAGCCAGCGAAGCCTCGAGCCCTGACCTTGGCGACGAAATATGGGATATCAAAGGTGCTGTAATTTTCTCGATATCTCTACTAGGAGAGGAGATACACTTGAATGTGATAAATGATTCCATGTGACGTCACGGCCTGACGGGAGAGACTATATAAGGAGTGAGCTTGTATCACGAAGTGAATCAATGTTGATCGACTGGGATCTCCTTGGAGTGCGAACGTCTTTGCAATCTTTTTTTGGAGTTCTATCCGCTGTGCGAGCTAGTAAGCTGTTAGACGCCGAGTGGTATTGATTTGTGTGTTGATCGATTGGAACGACTTTGCAATTTCGTCTGCAGTGCGGGCTAGAAAGCTGGTGAGCTGAGTTCTATTGAAAGTGCTCTTATTGTCGTTATTAGTGATTTGCTGACTGTTTGTGTTGCTAAATCTCGAAGTACTGAACTGTTATTACATGTGAATTGTTTGGAGAGGAAGGTGAAGGCCCAGGTATCATCCTTGTCAGAAATCGTAAAATTGATTGAAACATTGGATGGCAATTGAGACTTCCAGACGATTTATTGGGCAATTATTCAAAACAAAAAATATTTTAAGTTCCTAAAACACAGTATGAATTCAATCATCCTGTTCGAGTTCCTTTCAGCAATGCGAGGATTGAAATTTTGAATGAAATGTCGCCAAACGGGTCATTAGATTCAGAAATACGGATTGAACGTCTGTTAAGAGTACCCGAGTGGAAATGATATTTAAAATAGAGCCATTGTCTGGTTTAATTTGAAAGTTCACCTTAGATAAGCGAACGAGCCCGGCTAGCTCAGTCGGTAGAGCATGAGACTCGTAATCTCAGGGTCGTGGGTTCGAGACCCACGTTGGGCGATGAAGTTCCTTTTGGCTGTGCGAGGATTGGAATTTTGAATGAAATGTCGCCAAACGGGTAATTGGATTCAGAAATACGGATTGAAAGTTTGTTAACAGTACCCGAAAGGAAATGATATTTAAAGCAGTGTCATTGTCTGGTTTAATTTGAAAGTTCACCTTAGTGCGTTCTGTACTTTTGGTGCTCTTTCCATTCACATCAGAAGGATATCCATCAAACACTACGGCTACGTTCGATCCATAATGTGTTTGTAAGTATGTCAGATAACTCTTTGCAATGTCCCCGAAATCCATGTTCCGATGCCAAACAACTTTGTGAAGTAAGTTTCCTCCATTCACCACTACAAAATTATTTTTACCTTGGACAGCATCAATTTTGGTTGGTGTGAACGCTGAAAACAGGGACGATTTAGTTCCCTTTCGCATTCCCTCTTCACTAAATAGTGACAAAGGGAAAGGTGACAGTTCAAATGTGAAAAACATTTTCAAGTCTTCATCTGACTGCTTGGCGACACAAATTCTGTGGAAGAGGATTAGTGGGTCCATAGTAATTTTTTCTTTCCCAATTTTAGCACTGTTGTTAACAGAAACAAGTGTTATACTTTATTATGAACTTATGACTTTATGACGCTTGAATTTAATGTTTCCGAAATTGCCACCAACAATTCTGGGGATTCCTTCGCAACCGAGTTAGTGAGACAAGTGGCAGTTAACATCCGCCGTTCCTACTACACCACTGCTTATTGACATCAGCACATCATTTATGGGGAATGGTATGTGTTGAGTAAACCACCTTATATTAGTTTAGGACATATTCAACAAAAATTGACGAAAAGTAATAATTTTCACAAATTTTTGAGAAAATCGTGATTTTTTGGAAGCCTGTTTCTCAGTCACTATTTAAAATACAGAGCTGATTTTGGGCTCAAACTGTGACAAATTTACTCTACTTTAAATTTGTGAAGAAAAACATTTTCTGTGAAACCAACCATTCTGGAGATATTGTGAAAAAATTTAGAAAAGATCCAATATTTTGATGTTTTGTTCAAGTGGCGCGCAGTGGCGCGCCTTGGCGCGACGAGGTCGAAAACTTGAATTTTACGACACGCGCCCAACACTAACAACATATACAAAAATCAAAACTACCCAACCTTTTGCACAGCAAACTCCTTTTTCCTGACGAATTTACTGGACTACTAAGCGAGCGAGCCCGTCTAGCTCAGTCGGTAGAGCATGAGACTCTTAATCTCAGGGTCGTGGGTTCGAACCCTACGTTGGGCGATGAAGTTCCTTTTGGCTGTGCGATGATTGGAATTTTGAATGAAATGTCGCCAAACGTGTAATTGGATTTAGAAATACAGATTGAACGTCTGTTAAGAGTATCCGAGTGGAAATGATATTTAAAGCAGAATCATTGTTACGTTTAATTTGAAAGTTCACCTTAGATAAGCGAACGAGCCCGGCTAGCTCAGTCGGTAGAGCATGAGACTCTTAATCTTAGGGTCGTGGGTTCGAGCCCCACGTTGGGCGATGAAGTTCCTTTTGGCTGTGCGAGGATAGGAATTTTGAATGAAATGTCGCCAAACTGGTAATTAGATTAAGAAATACGAATTGAACGTCTGTTAACAGTACTCGAGTGGAAATCATATTTAAAGCAGAGTCATTGTTTGGCTTAATTTGAAAGTTCACCTTAGCAAAGCGAACGATCCCGGCTAGCTCAGTCGGTGGAGCGTTAGCCTTTTAACATAACGGTTCAGGGTTCTAGTCCCTGTTCAGGCGCGTGCAAACATTTCTTATTTGTCGAAGAAAAAGAAATGCAAGCATTCTAAAAATCTTCCAACATCGGAGACCGTGGCGCAACGGATAACGCTTAATACTCTGATCAGGGGATTCCAGGTTAGAAACCTGGCGGGCTCGAAAAGGCGTGAACATCTTCCTTTAGAGTAGAATTACAGGCACGCTGTTCACTCTGCTGAACTGGCAGCTTATCTTTTCTTCGAAAGTGTGTAAAATAAAATCTGATTCTTCTAACTGCAGCATTTCTTTATAACTGAATTGAAGGCCAACGAGTAGTCGTGGCCGAGTGGTTAAGGCGATGGACTTGAAATCCATTCGGATATTCCCGCGGCGGCTCGAATCCTGTCGACTATGTTGATTCCTTCGATGCGTGCTTCCTTTAGAGTCTAGATTCGCTTTTACCTCACTTGATCTGTGCGGATTGGCTTCTAAATTCATTTTTTCTAGGACAACAAATGACATATTGAAAGAATCAACCTGTTGCAATACTCAAAAAAGATAAATTTCTCTTTATCAGTATAACTTTGGTCAGCTGCTCTTCATTTCTGTTTGTTAAGAGTTGCGAGATGAACGATAAAAACTTATCTACGATTTAAAATAGTTACTTTCCTGTAACAGAGTGATTGATTTTTTTTCAGGGAATCGTTTATTGTCTATTTTCTTCAAGCCAAAAATTTTAAAATGCTACAGAGGTAATCTTATCAGCAAATCCCTTTTCATATTGTAAAACTTTTCTCTTATACGTCAGTAAATCTGGTGAGTTTTCTACAAAGAGACTATTTTATTCATCTGTTCTTCTCTGGAAATCTGTAGAAAATAATGGAAGAATGAATAGTTAAAAATATGGTTTTATTTAATAACGCAGATTATTTCCGAAGAAAAGAAAAATGTTCATACCTTTCAAATCAATTGACGGAGAGATTAATCTTAGAACGCTTTTAAATTCTGATTACATATATGAGAAAAGAAATTTGCAAAGTTTCTAAAAGAAAAAAGGAGACATTCCAAAATAACTTCAATGAATACCATTTCCACAGAAAAGTGTAGAAGAAACTTTTCCAAAACGTTCATCAGTAAACAAATTTACAAAAAAGAATCTTCGAGTTATCTCACAAAAAAGAAACTTTGAAGTCTCGAAATCTGCCTGTCGTTTAGCGAACATTTTGCTGCAGTATTTTTTAAAATCATCCAAGCCAAATACCGCACGAAATCAAATTTGCATATGACCGCGAAAAAAACTTTTTCGCATATCGAAAAAATACCTAAATAGCTTCAGGCGCTCATTGCAACTGAAAAAATGATGCGAAAAGAGCACTTGATTAATCTCTGTGGAAGGAACATTCAGCCTTTCCCGCCATCAGTCTAAAATGCAGTTCTATATCGATTTAACATTCATAAGGAACTATTGTGTGAATATATTTAGAAGCAAGATCGTCTTACATGTCTTTTGAACCTTTGTAGCTAAATGTAAGGATTCAAGGATTCTATTCTAGTTATTCGTCTCGAATTGATTTTTTTGTGCCAATATAAAAATTGTGAGCATGATCTGATTCCTTTGCCACAATATCTTTTGAAAAAAAATGTAGCATTTTTTGAATAATAAAGATTTTAGGTTTGGGCCTGACGGGAACTAATATTAGAGAAATATTGTTACTCGTTTAAATTTCTCGTCTTCCATACCAAATTAATATGCTCCTTGGCTTTTTGTCAGTTGTTAAGCTTTGTCTAATTTATCCAGCATCGTTTTGTATTTACGTGAACAAAACTTGTTCAAGTTATTCGAATGTGAATGTTTTGACGTTCTTTAAACTTTGCTCACAAAACGAATATGAAGAGATGAAAAATTAGCATTTCATTTTTTTCTAAAACAAGGAATAAGAAAAGCAAATGACAAGTCAACGAAAGTTGCTCGATTGTGCAAGTGAGATGCAAACTCAATTTTCATGATTGAGTAGTAAGTACCATATTGGAGGAGGTGAACAGAAGCATGCCAGATTGGAAAAATGGTGACTTTCAGTAGGATGCATGTCACCCGAGATTGCCAAAACACACAGACTCGGTAGAGGATGGACAGGATCATATTATCCATCAGTTCTTGTGGGATCGTCTGTCACTCTGGCGCTAGGGCAATTTTCTTCTCAAGAATTGTTATGCGAGGAATTGGATGGTTTGTTAGATGTCTTCCCATTGCACAGTGGAGGTGAAGAGAGCAATCAGATTGTCCATAAGTTCTTGTGTGATTCTCTGCCACTTTTACTCCAGGGAAAGCGAAAACCCACTGACGGAGATAGAGGATGGAGAGGATCATATTGTCCATCCATTCTTATGGGATCGTCAATCACTCAAGCGCTAGGGCTGTTTCCAGGTCAGGAATTGTTATAGGAGGCATTGGACGGTTTGTCAGACGTCTTCCCAGTGCACTGTGGAGGTAAACAGAGCAATCAGATTGTCCACCCGTTCTTGTGGGATTTTCTGCCACTCTTGTTCCAGGATAATTTCCAGCTCAAGAAATGTTACGGGAGGCATTGCATGATTTGTCAGACGTCTTGTCAGTGCATACGTAGGAGTGAAAAGAAGGCATACCAAAATGGACGAGAGTGTCACACATTGGCTATTCAATAGGACACATAGCTGCACAAGAGTGACAAAAGGAACTGACAGCGATGTTGTATGAGCAAGATCAGATTTTATAGCCTTGCTTCTGGGATTATCTGCTAATCTTGCTCCAGGGCAACTTCTAGCTGATGATTTGTTGTGGAAGGCATTTGGATGTCTGCCTGACATCTTACCAGTGTATAATCACTTAACAGTTTTGCCCGAACATTATTCGGGCATCGCGAAATGGGGCTTCCCTAATTTGACCGAAAGCCGCTCGACTAGGTCGTTTCTCTGAGATAGTTCACTGATTTTCCAGACTTTTTCACTTTCTTTACTTTTCACTGTTTCTAGTAAGTGGTTCTATCAATCTAACTAATGTTGGATAGCAAAACAAGAGAAAACCAGTTTTTAGGTCAGGTTAGGTTAGGTAAACCAGTTTTTAGGTCCTTTTTCCCCCTACAATTAAAAATGATCACTATCTATAAAATCAATATTTGTAACTATTTTGACTGCAGATTTGAATTTACAAAATCAATTTGGAAGCAAACTTGCTTATAAAAATTTGCTTATTTTTGGAAACAATACGACAGAAAAGGAAACAGTTAAGTGGATAATCGAATAAGTTTCTGTGATCTTTCTCCCTTTTGAAATGATGAAGCCAAAATCAAGAAAAATACCTCTGTTTTCACGTATACAGTGCAAGAAAGAAACACACTGAAATTAGTACAGTGATCTCGGAGACTTTTCAAAACAACAAATAAAAAAATAAGGCAGACATATCTCCTCTTTCTTCCAATTTCGACATCCAACTGAGGTCGGTTTACAAACAGCAACCCTCCGCATTAGTAGATCGCGCCAAGGGTTCTCCCAGAAATCGCCAAAAATAGCCAAACATAACAACTTTTTACTGATGTTTAATCACAAAATTTAACACTTCTTGATTAATTTAAATAGATTATTTATTAGTTTTTAAATAGTTTTGTAATGATCATGCTCGTTATTGTGGTGGAAAATCCTTCATACCTAAATCCAGCACATTCTCTTTCCCGAAAATCAATTGTGTTAAAAAATCAATTTCGAAAATGCCGACTAGTGTGATAATTGGTATGGAATGTACAAATATTAAAAATTGAAACAAACCAGTGAAAACAAATCATTGCATTAGACAGAAGCACTATTGGTACTCATTTGCAATCAAAGTTTGATATGCTGTTTTATAATTTTTCAAAATCTTAATAAATAAATTTTTAGATTAAAAACAATGACCATATTAATCTAACATTTTTACTCAATTAATGTACAATGGCTTAACAAAAATCTCAGCTTTATAGTTTTGTGACTCTAGATAAACGCAATTCTAAAAGAACAGCAAACGAAAAGAATAAATTAGCGATTTTTCTGCTAAAGCGTCAAAAAATAAATATAAATGTTGTTAAAAAATGGATAATAAGAATACATAATTGAACAATTTTGTAAAATATGCTCCTCCAGACATTTCTTGCCAGCGACTTCTTATCCTTTTTCATCTCTACCGTAGATTCATAAACAAAAGAATTTACTTCTATAATAATAATTTTTCAAGAAAATTTATTGAAATTAATATTTCATTCTAAAAGAAATTTAAAAAAAACAGTCAAAAATGGAAAAGAAAGTTATAAGATCGTAGAGTTCTCTTTTTTTAATAGCCATACAAACCTTTAAAATGGCCTTGCTTAAAAGCTTTTAACTTACTGCTGTGCATTTTAAGACGTTTCAAACAAATTTAATAAAACCCCTCAGAAAGTAAAATTATATATAAAAAAAGGAACATAAGCGTAAATATCTATGAACTTATTTTTCACAGATTCTACT